CTTATAATTAATTTCTAATAAACTGAACATATGAGCGCCCCCTTCATGTTCGGAGAACAATTGACGTGGTCCCTCAATTTAAGGAGAGAACATAAGTTTATGATGGTGCCTGACCCCATTGTAGTTAATTTAAGGATGTTACCAGAAACTCGGAAGAGTCGGGATAGCTCGGTCGGTATAGCGACTGGCTACTGGATGGACGACCCAGGGGTCGGAGTTCGAGTCCCGGTAGGGTCAAAAATTTTCACTTCTCCATGTCGTTCAGACCGGTACTGGGGTCCACCCAGCCTCCTATACAATGGGTACTTGGGGCTCTTTTCCCGGAGGTAAAGGGGCTGGGGCGTGAAGCTAACCATTCACTTCCAACTAGTGCCGAAGTCAAGAAAAGGCAGGCTATACATCAACTCTCACCTACGCCTACATGGCGTGGTGCTTAATTAGTTAAATACAGGGACAACTCCCACCTACGCCTACATAGCGTGGTGCTTAATTAGTTAAATGAAGGGACAACTCCCACCTACGCCTACATGGCGTGGTGCTTAATTAGTTAAATACAGGGACAACTCCCACCTACGCCTACATAGCGTGGTGCTTAATTAGTTAAATGCAGGGACAACTCCCACCTACGCCTACATGGCGTGGTGCTTAATTAGTTAAATACAGGGACAACTTTACTTTTTTTGCTAGTATCTCTGGACTTTATAGCGGTAAACGATTGGATCAGAACGAATAATGAATTGGCAGGGCACTTGAAGTAGGCTATTATGGCCTAAACGCAGTGAGCTTACTATCCCTTCCAGCATTTTCCTGGAGAGACTAGAGGAAGCTATGAAAACCTCCGTCAGGATAATCAAACTTCCTGCCGAGATTCGAACTCGTCACCTTCGGAATAGAAGTCAAAATTATGACTACTTTAACCAGCTACCTAGGCCGTGTTTGAGAAAAGAGTGCTGAGTACTAAGAGAGAAGATTTAAAACTGCTTAAACTGGAGTTTCCTAATTTGTGTTTTTCAACATAGGGTGTGGAATAAAGTGGTCTGGCCTAACGCAGTGTTTGTCTGTAGAGACTAAAGAAAGGCAAGAAATCCTCTGTAAGGATAACCGATCTTCGGGCTGATATATGAACCCAGGTCCTCTCGAATACGAAGCAGGGTTGCTACACACTTTCCTGTTATGTGTCATTCAAGAAAAATATAAATGGCAGTCTACACAACAGATTATTGAAACTGAGACAAACTAGATACTGTAGTATAGTGTAGTACAGTACAATACCAGTAACAGTACAGTACAGTACAGTACAGTACCAGTACCAGTAACAGTAACAGTATAGTAGAGTACAGTACAGTATAGTATAGGGACCAGTGGAGGGCTCTTGTGAACACGGTAATGAACCTTCGGTTTGTTGTAATTTAGCGTCCTGTTGCTAAACCTTCGGTTTCCATAAAATGCTGGGAAATTCTCGAGTAGCTGCAGAATTGTCGGCTCCTCCAGAAGTGTTCAGTTCCATGAGGAAGTAAATAAGTACAGTATAGTATCTAGTTCGTCTCATTTTCAATAATTTGTTGTGTTGACTGTCCCATTTACATTTTTCTTGCTACACACTCCACTGGGAAGTTAGGTTCGACATATTGTAAGATCTGAGGTTCTCACAGCGGATTCTGGGTTATAACGCCGTCCAGTGGGTTGAAAGTCAACCGATGTTTTGGAGGAACATGTCGCCTCCATATTCAGGATCGAAGAATAAGCCAATCTAAAAAAATTATGAAGCAGTTAACAAGCAGTGCTTTACCCTGAAGATGGAAACGATATGCTTCTCCGTAACGTCGGCCGACTTTCAATTGACTACAAAACGTTATATATAAGAAAACGAAACTGATCATTACGTTGCAGGCTGGGAAATTTTTTGCTATACATATCGTTTTTGTGAACGATAATTTGGACGCTTTAGGACGCTGGAAATAACTTCTCCGAAAGAAATGCTCTGAACTAAACAGATGGCATCTGCTCGCATCTACGTCCATTTTCAGCCCTGCTGCTAGGACATATCTCCGGATCTTGCTCGTGGGAACATGCTACAGCAGACGCGGTTCGCGCGAACATTGAACCTTGCGAAAACAAAGACGAGATTTGAAACTAACACTTCTTGTACCCACAGTCAGTGAAATTCAGCCTAACAACATGACGCGCGCTCACGGCTTCCTTACAGTTATCTGACGAGTCACGTATGATTGATCAATCATCTCATCCAAATCCCTATTTATACATTTTTTTCCTAGGCGCCTTTAATGATCTGTCAGGAGTGCAAAACAATTATTTTTATATTTCAGTACTAACTGTCATACCTCAGTCGGTGTAGCGATGAGCTACGGGCTGTACGCCCAAAAAATTGGAGTTCGATTCCCGGCAGGGGTAAGATTGTATTGTATTGTATTAGAGAGGGTGGGTTTCCCCATGCACTTAGACCAACTGTTGGTCCACTGTGCGTCCCCCTATGATATTCTACCAGTCTCTATTCCCTACCGGTACTGGTGCGTGCCATCAGTCCCGACTCAGCCAGCGAGTTCGGCCTCTACTGGCTCAGCGGTATCTCGATGCTTCCCCCATCTACCAGAGGCGTTAGAGACTGCTGTTGGGCGGGAAATGTCCTGAATTTGGCTCAGTGTTCCCCTTGGGACATGAGGTTCTTTTACGTGCCGTAAAGCTACGACACGGGACCCACGGCTTAAAGTCCCTCCCAGAGGACTTTTTCCCTGAAATTTTCCGCCCTTAAAAATTCCACGACCTCCGCCGGGTTTGAACCCGCATACCTTGAGTCACGAGGTGGGAACGTTACCCCTAGACTACGGAGGCCGCTTAGGGGTAAGATAGTTCTCTCTTCTCCACTGCATCCTGGCTTGTTTAAAGTTCACCCTTCTTCTAATGGATACCGGGTGCTCACTTCCCGGAGGCGAAGTGACAGGAGCGTGAAGCTGACCATTCACTTCCATCTAGCGCCGAGATGAGTGTTGGAACTATACGCCCTCGTGCCTTAGTTCTTAATTAAGAAAGCATAGGGAAATTTTATCGTTTGCTAGTGTCTGCAAAGTGCTGACTGCAAATGAACAAAACGCCTCGAAATATGGAGTACTCTATATGTTAAGATAGCAACTGCTGATACCCAACAAGGAAATGAAAATACATATATGTCGCGTTTCATTTTATCTTCACCTTTGCCGAAAACAACTGCTAATACTCAAAGGGGGACTTCCCAGAAATTGTGTTTGTTTTATCATAGCTTCGCATGGACGTTGAGGAGACTAAATTTTCACAGGACATGTATATGCGATTATAATTATTTACTCGAACTCGATTCCTGTGCGATTTGGAGCAGACATCTCGCAAATATTTAAACTGAAGGTACGAGTATATCCTCCTCGAGGAGTGCCACCTTATCGTGAGAGGAGGTCTGCGCGATCCAGTGGCCCGGAGAACTATGCTGGAGGGAGTGTAGGCTCCTGGTAGGACCACCCATCAGAGACAGGTCAAAGAGTATGGGCCAGACGAAGCGTAGTGCCTAATCCTCTAAGATGGGGGTTTGGCGTGGGGATAAGGACCCTACCCCGAAAAGATTTACTGTTACGAAACTTCCAGAGTCTGAGGTTACCATGGAAAAGGCCAAGGCCCACACAGAATTGTAGCGCCAGTAAATAAGAAAAACATGTAAATTACATACTTTAGAGTTTTAATAATAATAATTATTATTGCTGTTATAATACCTCGAATAGTCCACAATACCTTCCTGCAAAATCATTTTCTGGTTTTTTATTCACAAATCATAGTACCAGTGGACTCTATAATTACAGCCTGAGAACCTCACCATGAATTAAAAATAAACCACAAAACACTAATTATTCAACAACTCGGAGATATATACTGTGAACTACTGACGTCATTAAAAGAGAAACAACTAGCTACAACATGAAACTTGTGCTGTAACAGTTCTTCGCCTGTTTTCATGAAATAAATTTAACTGATACTGCTCTCAGCGCTTTTACACACGTCGACACAAAAACTTCTTATATAATTTACGTTAAAACATTAGAACTTTAAAACAATACATGTTTCGACCCTTATTGGGTCATCATCAGGTGTACTGTTTGTGCTTAGGTGTTGAACTTCTTTAATATTTTTGAATATGACTATATAACATATAATATTATGCTTGGTAACATAACCTTTGGTATTATTTACTTTTAGTCCAATTATGTGAGTACGAGTATTATGTATAATAATTATATACGTGTATATCTATTTTACTTAGAGGCCTTGCGACGAACTGATCACCCGCCCAAGGAGTCCTACCGTATGTCTTAAGATCTAGTAAAACCGAAGTGAAACGGAGAGTTTCATGGAGGTAGGCCTAGGCCCAAATGAGGGTTGTAGAGCCAAAGGAAAAAAGAAATACGTATATTTTAAGGTTAAATTACGATCGAAATTAAGATTTCACAATGGCACTTCTTGAAGTGTAGATTTACTTATGATGAGTTTCTTTTAGTGCCTAAGATAAACATCAAAACCAACCCTGATAACAAAATTTATATAGAGAGCATTAGTCATATCTAAAGTGCATATTGTTAAAATTATGTGACAGTGTTTCCTGATCGTAGTGCTGCGCCTCTGAGGATGATTCTTTTGGATCGAAACATGTAAAGTGAATGAGGACTGAAGTGTTGTAAACTTGTATGTCACACTGGACTGAACTTTTCATTATCTACTCTGTAATTAGTAGTGTGACGGACCAAAATGAGACAAGTTAAAATAATTGTATTTATTTGACCTATTTTAGCCCATAAACAGAAGTAAAGTTGGTACAATACCTTTGCTTTAACAAAGAAATATAGAAATAACATAAACATGAACGTCAACGGCGAACTGGACTATACGTTTAGGAACTACCAATAATGTCTTACTTGTACCCGCAATAAATACAATTTAAAGTTAATCGTATAGTGAAACCTTACCGTAATCTGACGAACACTGTACGAGTGTAACCAACAGACTGAATGTTAAACGTTTCTCGGGGAAATGAACCGACGCCTCTGATCGCGTGATAGCAACGTGACGCTCAGTTATCTGCAAGCTCACTGAAGTTGTCCGCTTATTACGGTCACGGAACTTGGAGGTCGTGATGAATAATACTGCTGTTTGCTGTCGGTTCCTAAGTCTACTGACGCAAATGGCCGCACCATAGCTCAGGCGGTTAGTAGCCGGATGCCCACCGTAGCCGCCCGCGGCGGCACGGGTCATATCCCAGGTCAGGTCATGTGGGATTTGTGGTGGGCTGTGGCACTGGGGCAGGTTTTCTTCGAGTACTTCGGTTTCCCCTGCCAATTCTCATTCCACCGACTGCTCCACACTCATCATTTATCATCCGAGGCTGGTACGATAGGCCAAACAGTGGCTGCAGTACCAAGTGGACTCAGTCTCACCCCACCCGAAGAAAATAAAAAGAACTACTGACGCAAACACTTCAGATGTAAGGTTACAAACGACAAAGTCGTGTGTTATGGTCGGACATAAAACATATGTCCTTCTACAATTTGAGGAGAATATCTGGAACTACGAGAAAGTATTAAAAAAATATTTGTGAGCTGTTTAACCGCCTCTGTGGTCTAGTGGTCAGAGTTCCTGACTACAGAGCTAGAGGTCCCGGGTTCGATTCTCGGCACCACCAGATTTTCTGAGAAGTAGTGTGTCTGGAACGGGGTCCACTCAGCCTAGTGAGGATAACTGAGGAGCTACTTGAATGGAAAAGTAGCGACTCCCGTCTACAAAACCGAAATTAACGGCCGTAAGTATTCATTGCACTGACCACGAGACACCCCCTATCCGCTAAAGTTGGCACTAACTTCGTCGACAAGTGGAGGTCGCTCTGTCGGTATAGTTCGCATGCGGACTAAAGCCATGGATTTTTTGTGTCTCAATGCGCATAGAGTGTTCTGTCTGAAACAGACAAGCCATGCTACACTGCGCGTAAACTGTTCTATCTCATATCGATAAGCTGTGTCATATTTCCATAAGTGTTCTACCGAAAACCGACAAGCTGTGTTACATTACATATAAATCGATCTACCCTAAACCGATACATTTTATTCTTCTGTCTTTCGTCCTAAAGAAAAGTTTAAAAAGTCTAATCATTACCTCGGTCGGGAAAGTCAGTAGTGTAGTGGAGACTCGAACCAGTATCTACCAAATGTAAGTCTACAGCCCAGTGACATCCTCGATAGAAAACTGGATAAAACGACTTTCGTCTAATTATATGCAGAGTCTGAATTTACCATGAATGAATGTGTTAAAGTCGTGCATTGTAATTGTGTCCGAGTTACACGTGAAGGTATTACGAAGGTAGTACACGAGCACGGAATGCTGGGTGGTATCGATTTAGTATGCTTCATCACGTCAAGACAAGCTTGGAGGCTATACTGCTTCATGAGTTCATGAGTGAACCGTTATGATTCAATGCACAGCACAATGACCACCACAGTTCATAAAAACTCAACAATTCAATTATAACAGAGCAGGGACCCCTGGACCCGATGCCACTTTAAATTCCATATGTCACGGATAAAGACCACTTTTTAACTAACTCCTCGGCACAGAATCTTTGTTGAAGAACTGGTAGTCTGTTTGCTTTCGTAGGACTTGAAGTACCTCGCTGTGTTCGCAGAGCTTGTCAGTAGAACTTATCTTGAAGCAATTCAAACCAATCAACAATTTAACGGCCAACCTTAACGCCGACGCCTTCATCTGTCAATAATTGTCTTAACTTAACAATGGAGCTGAGCCCTTCTTGAGCAGCCGCCAATTCTGCAGCTACTCAAGAACTTCCCAGCATTTTATGGAACGCGAAGGTTCATTACCGTGTTCATAAGAGCCCTCCAGCGGTCCTTATCCTGAGCCAAATCAATCTAATCCGTACCATCCCATCCTATCTCTCTGAGATCCATTTTAATATTGTCCACCCACCTACACCTTATGTTAGGTGGTCACCACGACAAGGAGCGTCTTCAGGTTGCGGATGGAGGAGACGCCGTCCAGGTATGGAGGGAAACTGCGAATATATTGAATAAGCAGTCGCGGACACCCGACAAGGGGTGGTTCTCCAGCTTTCGGGCTGGCCGTGGGGCTAATAACTCATCACCGTAAAATATAAGCTTGTTACGAATATGCTCAAGAAACCTCGTACCTGGACGGACCCTGTGAATAAACGACCTAGGTGAAACAAAATGGATATGAGATTTTGTACTTGGAATAAATGTCTTAAAGAGTTCTATTTTAGGGGTAATAACTATGTGAGCCCCGTTGCAAGTCAACCAACGTGTAGGAGGAAAATGTATCCTCCATTTTGAGGGCTGAAGAGTAAGCCAAACAAGAAAAACCAACATGTAGCAGGCAGAAAAGTATTGTTCTGCTTGGTGACTGCTTCGTGTTGGTTTCCTTGCTTGGCTTAGGCTGCTGTCTGGTCGGTTGATTTTCACTGAGCTACACGGCGTTATACCCCAGGAGATAGAAATCTTCACAAGCATCGATCCGAGAACCTTAATTTCCTTTAAGATTTTCTGACCGAAAGGAGTCGCGCTTGCTGCTTTTGTTTATGTCTCTTCTAATCATTTACCAGGCCGACTCAAAGTCACGCCGGTCACAGTGCCCGCGCTTTCTAAGGCATGAACTGTCTTCGCTCACTCGAACACTTGGATCGTGACTTCTAGTACCATTCGAGGCATGGATGTCTGTGTGTGTTTATTCTGTTTGTGTTGTCCTTTTTGTAGGTAGCGGCTTTGCGATGGGCTGATCCCCCGTCCAGGGAGTCCTACCGACTGTGTAAAAGATCAAGAAACTGAAAAAGAGACCAAAGCAAAACAAAGGGCTATAGAGCCATAGATAGATAGAATCAAAGTCACGGATCACTGTGTAAGATCGTCGTATATGGCCAGTCGGGTCCAAACTCGAACTCTAACACTTCGGGAGATGTCCGGTTCCATCGCTGGCCACGACACCAACTATCATGAATGAGATTTTAGTTTTCCTCAGTCCCTCCAGGCGAATTTTTGGATATTACCTGAAACAGATCACTATCATCTCTTTCCACGTGTTTCACTCTTCAATAGGCGCTGGGAAGAGCTGGTATAGCGAATGGCTACGGGCTGGACGACCGAGGGATCGGAGTTCGAGGCCTAGTTGGGTCAAAAATTGTCTCTTCTCCACGTCGTTCAGACCGGCTCTGGGGCTCACCCAGCCTCCTATTCAATAGGTGCCGGGGGTTCTTTCCCTGGGGGTGAAGTGGCCGGGGCGTAAAACTGACCACTCACTTCTAACTAGTGCCGAGGTCAAGAAAATGTGGATCTATACATCTACTCCCTCATACGCCTTCATGGCCAAGTATTTAATCAGTTAAACACAGGGACCACTTTACCTTTAAATAAAATATTGTAAAAGTATTAATTGGCCGGTCACGGTAGCCGAGCGGTCTAAGGCATGCACTGTCTTCGCTCGCTCGGAAGCCGAGATCGTGGGTTCGAATCCCACTCAGGGCATGAATGTTTGTGTGCGTTTTTCTGTCTTTGTCTACAGGTAGAAGCCTTGCGACGAGCTGATCGCGCGCCCAAGGAGTCCTACCGTATGTGTAAGATCTAGAAAAACCGAAGTGAACGGAGTTCATTGAGGTAGGCCTAATCCCACTGGGGCTGTAGTGGCAAGGGAGAAAAAAGTATTAATTACCGTCATTTCCTAATTATGTTGATGAGCTCTGTGCCTGGCACTTCTTAAAATGGTTCCCAAACAGTTCTCGAATCTATCAGTGTTGGTACACACTGTATCAAATTGTACCGCCTCTGTGGAATAGTGGTCACAGTGCCTGGTTACAGATCCAGGGGTCCGGGTTCGATTCCCGGCGCTACCAGATTTCTGATAAGTAGTGGGTCTGAAACGGGGTCCACTCAGCCCCATGAGGATAATTAAGGAGCTATTTTAAGGAAACAGCGGCTCCGGTCTAGAAAACCGAAATTAACGGCCGTGGGAATCCGTTGCGCTGACTACGCGACACTCTCTATCCGCATAATTTGGCACTAACTTCGCCGAGAAACGGCGGTAGCTAGGTCGGTATAGTTCGCTTTGGGACTATAGGCAACGGAGTTCTTTTCTGTGGTCTCCCTGCATATCTTTCTGGTTACTTCAGCAACCACAAGCCGTTCTTGTGGTGCTTTTATTGCCTCAAGTTAGTCTTCTTAACATTTCGCAAACTAATTGGATTTGCAGGGACGATTTAAGGGACACTGTGACTATATAGAATTAATACATTACGAAATGTTTTCTAAGAGGTTTATTTCGTGTTAGACGTCGCAAATAACGTTAATGTGAGAGCAATTTGTTCGAGACGTAATCACCTAATCCCTCTTGTTACCACGGCATGACGGTTCCTTATGTTTCTGACTGGGGAGACGGCCTCCAGACACGGATGCACTGAGTACGCAGTTTCGGAGGGCTGAAAAAACTGTAATCCTGAAGCTTGTTCAGGGTTTTCCGGGGGGGGGGGATACGAACTCTGGTAAAAACAGCGTGTAACGAAGTGTTAACTGGGGCTTCGGGCTTGGACAGATTCTTCGGAAAGGCCTAAGCTATGAAAAATGAACATGAAGTTTAGATCCTTGAGGTGGAGTGGATTCATCAGGCTCATAATGTGAACCAGTGGCGGATTCTTGAGAATATGGCAATGAACTCTCGAGTTACATAAACGTCAGGGAATTTCTTGAACAGCTGAGAGACTGTTAAGGGGTCAATACACGTAGGAGTCTGGCTCGCGAGTCCGACTCGGGTTCCAATGAGCCAAACTCGTCCGTGTGTGGGTCTCAAAGTTGGGAGTCAGCTCATGAGTTTGTGGTGAAATTAATCCGAGCCCGGCTCCCGAGTCAAGTTCGCCAAGCCGGACTCGCGAGTCAGATTCCTACGTGTATGGGCCCCTTTACCTTCTCATGAGGGACTCTGGTCAAGAGAATTACTTACTGCCACTTTCAAACTGGTCATTTTAATTCTATAAGAGCAGCACAAAAATTACATTACGTCACATGCAACAACATGTTTTATGTTTTCCTTCTTCAAATCTCACT